CATCAATGACCCCTCACCCCCCCACCATGGACTGTTCTCCCTGCTGCCCTCTGGGAAGAGGCTTCACAGCATTCAATGCAGGACCAGCAGGTTCTGCAACAGCTTCTTCCCCACCGCCATCAGACTGATGAACTGCTAAGAAAACTCTAAATCACAGACTCTGCATCACACTGAATACACCAAACCAAAATACTGCATTTTTGCACCATATTTATTAATGCTCTGAACTTCCAGATCAATATGTATTTGTCTCCCACACTGTTTACATTTGATCACTGCTGCACTTTATGATTGATTGATTGATTGATGGATTGCCTTTATTGATCTCACAGTGGAGAAAATGTAACCGTTGCATTAGCTCAAATAGTCAATGAAGAGGAATGTGCCAAAGGAAAGAGCATGACATATATATATATATCTATATATAGTTATATATCTATATCTATATATCTATATATATATATATATATATAAATATATATATATATCTATATATATATATATAAATATATACAGTGCATCCACATATGACAGCATTTTGTTATTGAAGGATCATTATACAGGGTTAATGCAGAGGGAATGGAAATGTTCATTTACTGTCTGCAAAAGCTGTACTAAACTAAAATTTCAAGAGCTCACACTAAGAGGCAGCAGACCGGTAGTTACCTGAGAACGGTGCGCCTGTAGCCACAGACCCTGAGCTGCTCAACAGTCGTACACAACTTAGACCAGACTTAGACAACTTTTATTGTCATTGTCAGGAGGCGTCGACTTGAAAGCTAAACAGAGTAATGAAGCGATCAAATATTCAAATAAAGACCTAATCTACATTACAGCAACTAAAAAGGTAGAATCTCAGTAATCCAGATGTAAAGGGTGGATTAAAGGGTCAGGGATCAAAGCGTCCTCCACAGCCTTACTTAGCATTTGATCTCAGACATGTTCTCCTGCTCAAATCCAAAATCAATGCTCACTCTAATTTTTTGGAAACAAACATGGCTGCTGTCTTTGCGGAGGATTTGTTGCTTCGTTTTTAACTGTAAAGCCTCTTCAGCTCATGTAAAATGCATCTGAATCGACTGAGGCAGTAAGTAAGAGGAGCGGAGGATCCAAGCGGTCTGTAAAACAGATGAAAGGCCTTTGGGTGGAAACGTCAGCAGATCCAGGGGGACGTTTATCATGCAAACGGCTGAATAATGGACGCCTTCAAAGCCCATTAGTCTCAGAAACAATTGGTGGTCAGCTTTTAGGGAGATCTATGAACAAAATAATCCATAATAGTCCCGCTTTAACACACACACACACACTCAGGGTGCGGTCTGTTTAATTGGTGCATTGTTTCACTGCACTGGTAATTAGCTAGTAGATAAACAGAGGAAGTGTATTTGTTTGTCTTTATGACTGAGTGGTTGTGTTTCCAGAAAGTTCCAGCACTTCGGCAGCTCCTCAGTCCAAACACTCTAATAAGCAGCCTGATAGTGACCATCAATTAAAGAGGGTCACCAAATCTCTGGAGAAGCTGCAGAGATCCAAAGCTCAGGCGGGACAATCCGTCCCTGAAAATCTGTCCTAAATCTGCAAAAGGAAAGTGGAATAATGGACCAACCATTTTTATTTCTATGATCAGGATCCACTGGTGCCTCTATGGTTCAGTGCTTTAAATAATGCATTTTGAATAAGTTACAGCCGACAAACCACACACAAAAGCTAAGGAGAAAATCCAGGATCATGGACAAAGAACATGTTTATTTCGTGCTGCAGATAAGAACTGTTTCTAAAGCGTGAGAATGTTACAGCAGAGGGTTTCCTCAGACCTTGCGGATGCCTTCGGAGGGGCTGGACACAGAGTAGTCCAAGCCGTCATTCTTGCTGATGGTTCTCCACAGCTCTGCGTACGTGCTGTCCTGCTCCAGAGGGTTGGTGCCTTTGTTCCTGAAGTAGTCGTAGACAGCAGAGTCTCTTACTGTGCCATAGTCCACCTCAATCTGCCTCGCCAAGTCCTGGAAGGACCTGCAGCAGAGAAAATAAAGTCATTTCATGTTTTTTTTCTTTTGACAGCAGTTAACCAGGTAAGGACATTTACAGCATATCAGCTTCCCGGTTGACAAACGGAATCATTTATGTTCATCTTTTACTGCAGGTTGAAATCTATGGGAATTTATTTCTAAATTAACACTGAATTCTTTAATTTTGCCACAAGGCTGGAACTTTTTGTCAGATAAATTATGCTGAAGGCTTTTTTAAATTTAGAGTTTAATATAAAAACTTTCAGGATATCTGGGAACTATTTATTAGGAGCTTCCTGTTTCCAGGGGTGTAACCGCTTTGTGACACCAAGGCTCGTTTATCTTATGAGGAAAACAATTCATTCGGATCCACAGCTGGACAAAGACTCAGGGTTTTCACAGGGAAGTGAATCCCCACCTGTAGCTCTAAACGTTAGTCTCTGTTCATCTGATTAAAATGTTTAGTTTCTTTCTAAAAAACATGAAGGGGAGTGTTGGCCTAGAGGTCAGAGCGGCGATCTGCGCTCTGAGAAAGTTGCAAATATCCGGTTCGATCCCCACAGACTGCCACTCTGGGTCCCTGAAAAGGACCCTTAACCCCACACTGCTCCCCGGGCGCCGCACAATGGCGGCCCACTGCTCCCCGAGGGGAGGTGTTACATAAAATAAGTTTTGCTCTTGGATTGAAGAGGGAAAAGAGACATTTTGCTAAAGGAACAAGACAATTTACACTTAAAATAAGAAAACAATATTGCATTGTCTTATTTTAAGTGCATTTTATCTAATTATCTTAATTTACGAGTAAAAATACTCATTCCAGTGGCAAAATCACATTTACCTACTTAAATTAAGGGTAAATACACCTGATATAATAAATTTTTACTTATTTTTAAATAGTTTTCCCTCACTTAAGTTCAGTTATTATAAAAACCCATCTTTAACATTACACTTTAAATTCTGAAACTCAATTACAAAACAAACCATTTGGGGAAATAAATAATAAATAATAAACAAAACCTAAGTTTGAAATGTAAACTAATAACAGTAAGACATGTTGAAGGCAATGTGACCAAAGTCTGTAAAAGACAGGAAATTATGTTTTTCAGGCAGTTTTGTGTTTCCTTTGTTTATTTGAAGGCTAAAGGTAGAAAAAAGAATTTAGTTATGTGAATAAAGTCTTATTTCAGGTCCAAACTGTGAGAAAGTAAAAGCTGAGGCATGTTGGTGGGCAGGAGGCCGTCCTGCCTTTGGTCCCAGATCCGTGGATCTTTGCTGCATGTTTTCTCCCCTCAAAGCAGATAGTGGGACAGACATAAAAATGGATATTTCATCAGCTGAAATCCATCAGAACTTATCACCAGTGAAAGGCTATCAGTGTTGATGAGACCAAATGTTTACCAGTTGAATTGCTGTCATTATGGACTGGGACGAGTCAAAGCTAATTAAATGTGGCAGCATTACGGCGTGAAGGTGCTTTTCTGCTGGAGGGACTGGATGTGGTCAAAGCTTGAACACGGTGACTGAAAGCGTCCCACCAGTATCATTAAAGAAGGCAAAGGAACTGCTGGCAAGCAGCAGAAAGCTCCAGACTCATTTCCATAGAAAGGCTCTGAAGGTGTTAATGGGATGTGGCGGCCTAGTGACTTCATTTGGA